ACCGCAAACTCTGCTCTAGCGACGGATCTCTGTGTCGAGTGAGAAGAGAAAATGGCTTCTTGGTGTTACAGGAACGATTTCTATCGGTCAATTCTCTTGTAACATGGTATTTCGATAACACGGTGTGACAGTTACAACCGTCATCTAACACTTCGATTGTCTTCTTTGATTTATGATAATACATCGTGGGCGATAATACGTCACAAAATAATTTTACAATAGCAATACAATTTTGTAATACTCCAAATAATTTTATAATGTCCAATATGATTTTGTAAAACTTCAATTAATTTTATAATGTCCAATATAATTTCTTAACGTTTCAAATAATTTTATGATATCCAATATAATTTGGAAATTCTCAAAATAAATGTATAATATCCAATATCACTTCTTAATGCTTCAAATAATTTTATAATACTTAATTTATCTTCTTAATACTTTTACTAATTTTATAATATCCAATATAATTTTGTAAACCTCCAAATAATTTTATAATACTCAATATAACGTTGTAATACTCAAAATAATTTAAAAATATCCAACGTAATTTTGTAATATTAAAAATGGTTTTCTTATACTCAAGACAATTTCATAGGACCCAAAGTAATTTCACAATATCGAATAAAATTTTGTATTGCTCAAAATAATGTTAAAATAAACGCAACAACTTCGTAACTCACAAAACAATTTTCAAATATCTGCAACAACTTGAAAATGTCGAAACTAATTTTCCAATATCAGAAATAATTTAAAAATACCCAATATATATCTTCGTAATACTAAAATAATATTTTCAAATATCCACAATAATTTTGCAATGCCCCAAACAACTTGAAAATGTCGAAAATAATTTTCCAATATCCGAAATAATTTAAAACTACCCAATGTATATCTTCGCAATACTAAAAATAATATTTTCAAGTATCCACAACAATTTTGCAATGCCCCAAACAATTTGAAAATGTCGAAAATAATTTTCCAATATCAGAAATAATTTAATAATACCCAATGTATATCTTCGCAATACTAAAAATAATATTTTCAAATATCCACAACAATTTTGCAACGCCCCAAACAATTTGAAAATGTCGAAAATAATTTTCCAATATCAGAAATAATTTAATAATACCCAATGTATATCTTCGCAATACTAAAAATAATATTTTCAAATATCCACAACAATTTTGCAACGCCCCAAACAATTTGAAAATGTCGAAAATAATTTTCCAATATCAGAAATAATTTAATAATACCCAATGTATATCTTCGCAATACTAAAAATAATATTTTCAAATATCCACAACAATTTTGCAACGCCCCAAACAATTTGAAAATGTCGAAAATAATTTTCCAATATCAGAAATAATTTAATAATACCCAATGTATATCTTCGCAATACTAAAAATAATATTTTCAAATATCCACAACAATTTTGCAACGCCCCAAACAATTTGAAAATGTCGAAAATAATTTTCCAATATCAGAAATAATTTAATAATACCCAATGTATATCTTCGCAATACTAAAAATAATATTTTCAAATATCCACAACAATTTTGCAACGCCCCAAACAATTTGAAAATGTCGAAAATAATTTTCCAATATCCGAAATAATTTAATAATACTCAATGTATATCTTCGCAATACTAAAAATAATATTTTCAAATATCCACAACAATTTTGCAACGCCCCAAACAATTTGAAAATGTCGAAAATAATTTTCCAATATCCGAAATAATTTAATAATACTCAATGTATATCTTCGCAATACTAAAAATAATATTTTCAAATATCCACAACAATTTTGCAACGCCCCAAACAATTTGAAAATGTCGAAAATAATTTTCCAATATCCGAAATAATTTAAAATTACCCATTGAATATCTTCGTAATACTAAAATAATACTTTCAAATATCCACAACAATTTTGCAACGCCCCAAACAACTTGAAAATGTCAATAATTGAATATATCAAATGAAAATAATTTTGTAATAACCAAAATAATTTAAAAATACCCAATGTATATCTTCGTAATACTAAAAATAATTTCGCAGCAGTTCAAATCATTTTGTAAAACGTTATCCCGTAAACATCCCCGAGAAGTCGAGGGCGCCGGAGACGTTTGGCGTATCAGCGTTAAGCGAGTAACCTCGGCTAAAAAGGGGCTCAGTCTCGCTGCCGAGTTAGTTCGTTTATTGTGGTTGAATTATAATCGCGTTTACCTTTTTCCGTTCGAGTTCGCGGCTGCACACGCGTCTGGCCGCGCGCACGGCGAGCGGTTTTTCTGCGGAAACGTGCCGGAGCGAGCCGGCTAACGTTGTTCGCGGGCAAGTTATTCAGAAGACGCTCGAGAGCGAGCCAGCAACGCGCGCGGCCTGCTCATTCAACGTTTCTCGGGCGTGCGAAAGAAACGTTTTCGAGCGGACGATAACGCGTCCGGAGAGCAAACGCGAGTCGCCGCGCCGTAAAGTCTTGGCTTGGTCGCTCGGCGCGATTCTTCGGCGCCGGTTTTTAATTCCATAGCCGCGGGAATAACGCTTGCAGACACACCTGTTCAAGAGGGAACACATGCTACGTCGGGGACGAAAAATAGTGTTCCGTCGAACGGGTCGCGAGACGGAGCAGGCGTTTCGAGACAGTCGACCTCTCGAAGTAAACACTCGCGAAAGTATTCGAACGCCTTTTAAAACGGAGGGGTAACATTATTATAATCTTCATAATCGGGCTAATTGTTCTGAATTTTAGGGAAAGGGTTGAAATTTGTTTGGAAAATTTGCAATCGTTTGCGGTGATAAGAAAATTAAAACAAGATATTTATTCAACTTTTTTATCTGAATCTGCAATGGAAATTTAAAAAATGCGATTTGTAGATCATAGTAATTCATATACAGAGTGATCAGTTTAATTTGACTCGGTGGAATATTTCGTGTGAGGGATTGAAGTTATAAAAGACATTATATCAATGAATTGGTAAATAATTACTAATACAAATTGAATAGCGTGAAAATTAAAATTGATTTATGTACAAGTTGTAACAATATTCGCATCTTCTCCATAGGAGAACCACCTGACATAAAACAAAAGAATCGGTTTGGTACAAATGGATACCATAGTCGCTTAGAAACCAAAAGATAAAAAGCTCGATCATTGTTTAGAGTGTCATTTGATACAACTAGACGATACAGTCGCGCAGAGTTCATCTAACAACGTGTGCTCATCTGTCTCATATACACTTCATTTATGTGATTTCACTACATGGAATGATATTAAGTAATAGGCCATTGTATTCGCTGCTATATTATGAATAAAAAAGTACAGGGTCGCATTTAAAAATATTATTTTTACTTCAATATTTCCTTCACCACTACATCTGTAAGAATATTGTTTATACCATCAAACGTGCCCCTCCATATCAAATAAGTTTCGCGACAACATGTTTTTCATCATTTTAATCCCTCGCGAAATATTCCAACGAGTCCAATTAAACGGATCACCTTGTATGTGCTGAAAATTTCATCGAAATCGTCGCAAAGGCTAATGAATAATATCTTGAAAAATTGCCGAATAAAGCTCAGAATCGTAAATACAAATGTTTGTTATAATTTTTGCTATAATCGTAGCAAAAGAATACAAGTCTTTACGTATAGTTAATTGTAAATCATTTGCTACTGCCCTCGCAGTTAATAATTAACGCTGGATAATTAATATATTAATTATAATATTATTATATAATTAATATATAAAATGGATAAAATTAAAAAACAGAAAAAAACACACAATTTAAAACTAAACGTCTGACGCGGTATAATATATTGAAAAGGTACGATCAACGTTCGCAGAGTTTCGCGCAGCTCGGCCAGCAACTTTCGTCCCGCGAACGATGCTTTCGAGATCGCGCGCGCGTTCCGCGTGCCGAGCTGTCAAAATATCGAGCCGTTGAAAACGGCTAGCCACCATATTCTCAATCTGTTCATCCGTTTCCCATTCTGACCGAACGGGCGCGGATCCTCCGGTCCGGATCCGCGGGCGCATTTGTTTACACGGCAGGCTCGCACAGCTCGAAAAGCCGGAAGCTTTCAATGCAACGGAATAAGAGGATTGGGAACGGGGCACGCGTATGATCCGGTCGTGCACGTACGTCATTTTGCACCGTGTACACGTGTACCGGCGTCGACGGCTGTTCCGGGTAGCTTCTGTTGAAAACCGGGCCGGGTCGGGTCGGGCCGGGCCGGGATCCACCCCTCCGTTTCCCACGTTTTCGTCAAGGCGCCGCGCGCGCGGCCCGATGTAATTCTCCGTCGCCCTTCCAGCTTCACCCGACTTCTTGCCACCGTGTATACACAGGACTCTCGACGTTCAGCGCCTGAAATTTCCCGTAAAGGGGACCGCCCGCGAGCCAAACCCCCATTTAAACCCATCCGACGAACGGGATATGCAAATGCCGTTTTCTTTGAGGCTGCGCAGATTTTCTGCGACACTGCTCTGCTCTACTTTCTGATTACGTCCGCCGGAAATTCCCGACGCCTCGCGGATTAGGTAGATTTTCGCGGCGAACGCCTCTTCAGTGTCTACATCTTCCGGTTACGTTATGCCTCGTGTAAATTGTCTGCCGTACTTCGCCTCTCTCGCGATTGTTTCCAGTCCAGATCTTTGGACGGTTTGGGTACTCGGTGGATTTTCGACGAACATTTAACGTTGCTTTTATTTCGAAAATCGTATTGATTGTTGTACTAAATCGATTTTATACTAATCGAAGCCTTCTTTAGAACAAGATAAATGTAAATTTTGAATTATTGGCTGTTGCAATTTTTGCGAAGAGTGTACGTGCGGCTGTTACAATGTAGAATTAAATTGCGATGACATGGTTGTTTTATTTCTTAATTTTATTACTATTTTATTACTTATTATTATTTATTACTTATTATTATTTTATTACTATTTTATTGCTCGTTTAATTAATTTAACCCCAGTTAGCCGGTTAAAATGTTACACTTACGAATTTATCCCCTGTCTTGGAGGCCACCAGATTCTGAAACAGAAACAGAATTCGATGCGGTTAGGGCTATGCGCTGAACGTACATGCGATATGAAACGCAATCGGAATGGTTCATTTGTTAAAGACAAACTTATTGACACCTAGATTAATCCGAGTAAAGAAATTTTCGAATTATTCGAAGGAGAAACCATTCGAATAAAGAATTTTTCGAATTATTTGAATAAGAAATCATTCGAATAAAGAATTTTTCGAATTATTCGAAAAAGGAATCATTCAATTAAACATTTTTTCGAATTATTCGAATAAGAAATCATTCGAACGAAAAATGATTCGAATTATATGAATAGAAATAATTTGAATAATAAATTATTTTAATAAAGAATTTTTCGAATTATTCGAACAAGAAATCATTCGAATACAGAATTTTTCGAATTATTCGAATAATAAATCATTTTAATAAAGAATTTTTCGAATTATTCGAACAAGAAATCATTCGAATACAGAATTTTTCGAATTATTCGAATAATAAATCATTTTAATAAAGAATTTTTCGAATTATTCGAACAAGAAATCATTCGAATACAGAATTTTTCGAATTATTCGAATAATAAATCATTTTAATAAAGAATTTTTCGAATTATTCGAACAAGAAATCATTCGAATACAGAATTTTTCGAATTATTCGAATAATAAATCATTTTAATAAAGAATTTTTCGAATTATTCGAACAAGAAATCATTCGAATACAGAATTTTTCGAGTTATTCGAATATAAAACACTCTTCGAATTATAATAGTGTTACGGCGACTTGTCCAAATCAAGTCGCTGTAATGTGAAACTGCCCTGTTGTGAGCAACTCCATAAAGAAAAATAGAAGAGAGGGGTTGCCACGGAGATGTTTTATCAACGGACAATCGAAGAGTCGGGATCGGACCGTCGAGCGATCAACACCATCTAAATCAAAGATCTCTAACATAGTTTAATTCAGTTGTATTATAGTTCGTGTTCTCTATTGTAAATAAAATGCCGCGACGCGGGAGAAGTGTCGCAATTCGTAACAATAGGATAATTTACGACAAATAAATGAATTATTCGAATAAAGTATTCGACCAAGAGAAATTCATTCCGATAATTCTCAGATAAATATTTATTCGAAACAATCCGAGCAACATCCAACTCCATCCAAAACATTAAAAATTCGTCTTTCGTTCCCTCGAAAGAACGAAATTACTTTCCGAACAACTCACTATCTGGCCCCGGCATCGTACGATTAATGCGCGCAATTTCTATTCTGCATAAAGAGCCGCGCGGTAACGAGACATTTGAGAAAAGTTGGCCGCTCCGCGGCGATCGATGTAGATCACGGGGCCGAAGGGAACAACGTTCGTTTCCTGGGAACGCAACAATACGTTACGGGGCCGCGGTGTTTCTCACGTGCCGCGGGAGCAACGCGGACAAATGCAATTCCACGGTTTCCCTTGATTTTCCATCCGGTCTCCCTAAATAGGATTCCCGTCGTTTAGATCCGAGGCCGCGATCCTCGAGCGTGCCTTTCGAAATTCTGTTTGCCCGGTGCCCTCGGGGCCGCTGACGATGAAAAAGAAAGAAAAAACAAACAAAAAAACAGGAAAGAATTATACTCGTTTTCTCGCGGAATTACTTCCACGGTGTAATTCCTCCGGCGCCGGCGAGACGGCGGACTTATTCCGACACGGTGCTAGGTAGTAGGATCGCTGCCGGAAACGGCGGATCGGGAAAAGGGACACAAAGGGTCGCCCGAACAAATGAACAAGAATCCTCCGCTCTCCTGCTTTACGCTCGCGACAGATCTTTTTTTATCGTGCCAGAATCGCGCGAGGCGTTTAAGGTGGAAACATGCTGATGTCACGTGTCGCGTGAGGTCATTTGATAGCACGTGACGTCGTCAGAAAATGAGAAAACATATTAATTAGAGATCATGATTGTGAACGTGTGTTAAAAACATACGTGTGCACGTGCACTTCATATACATGTGTCATAATAAGTACGTGTTGTAATAAGGACACAAGTAATCTTGACATAACACCTGAATTATTTCACGTATATGTATTTAATTGCACATGTAATATTTAACGTATATGTATTTAATTGCACGTGGTGCAATATTTCACGTGTATTAATACATTTTCATTTCGGTTCATGTAGCTTTTAGAATATCGGTTTTAATTTACGGTTCGAGAATTTTTTTACGAATCAATATCCTTGTCATCTATAATGGTTATTTGCAACTTAAAAACAATTTTCATCGTCCATAATAGTTATTTGCAACGAAAAACTATTTTCGTCACTTGCAATGGTTATTTTAACCAAAAAGATTCAAGTCATTTAAAACCATTAATTGATAACCACAACACGTGAAAGTTCATTTTCTAAAATTTTCTCTAACATTTGATGATAACTACCCTTTGGGTAAACAAAGATCAATTTTCTATCGATAATTTTATTTCATTACTTTTATTTAATTGCTTTTAACTACTCTTTTCATTATTTATTTAATTACTGTTATTTTTGGTGTTCGGTAAAAGCATTTGGAGAATTTCGAAATACCGCTGCATTGTTTTTAAAATAATTGAGAAACGAAATAAATATACGCGTGGCTCTTACATCTTGCGACTCGTGCAGACAATATTTATTTTCCGTAAAAATCCGTAAGCTAATCACAATTTGTCAGTGGCGAGAATGGTCCTTGAAATTGGTGTCGCAAATGGTGCAAGAAAATTACAGACTCCTTGGCGGATGTTGGTTCGTTTTTAGCAATTTCGTAGAATATTTTCACCACGATGTGCTCGCATTTTTCATGTCTTACTTCGTCCTACTTTCATGATGCAGCTTCGCTATTGGATGTTCCGTCGTTTCTCTTGGTTCTGTTCCTATTGTTCTGTTCTCTTTTCTACTATTTCTTCATAAATCAACAAACATTTTTCTTAGAATGTCATAGTTTGAGAAAGTGCATCTTACAAGACAAATAGAAAGAGATCACATGATTTCGGTAAATAGCTAAATGCTTATGGATATTGTCTATTGTTTGTAGAAATAATAATAAATATAGAATTTCAATGATGTGTGTGTGTGTTCACAGTTGAATGTCTCTAAAATTCAAAGTCAAGTTTTGTCCCATTCGATTCATTTTTATCTATAAACAATATCTAAATACATAATCAGTAGATTTAGGGCAAACGTTTTTCTAGAAAATTGTAATATTTTGCAAGATATTTCAATTCGTTAAATAACAGTAACAACAGAATAGACATATTTGCAGCCCCAATATTATAAAAATCTAAAACGAGTCTTCTTTATAAACTGATTCCTTAATTTATTGATTCTCCGCTATTTAAAATAACATATGCTTTCATTTCTGTTATTGTAAAAATGGCTATTTTTTACCCGAATATATAAATAAGTAAAATAAATAGAGTAAATAAAATAAATTAGATAAATATAACAAATTAAATTGCTTAAATATAATAAATTAAATTGCTTAAATATAATAAATTAAATTGCTTAAATATAATAAATTAAATTGCTTAGATATAATAAATTAAATTGCTTAAATAAACAGAATAAATTAAATTGATTAAATAAGTAAATAAAATAGAGAAATTTAATATTATTGATAGACGTTTCGGTCGACCAAAAACATACGGAAACATTTCCAACGTGTGCTTCGCTTACACGCTATAATCGCAGAATTTGCTCCGTCTAGTAATCGGAATGTTTCTTCGTTAAGGCGCACTCGAGGGGTAAAAAAGGAGCGACAACGGATTTATAGGGCGTCGGGGCGCGAATCACCGTGCTACACCTTGTACCCAGGATGGTTTACAGGTATACAAGAAACTGATGGCGACGCCACGACTTCGAAGTCGCAACAAGAAACCCGTGTAGCCCCCTCGTCGGTCCGAGCGTGTTCAACAAAGCCGGGAACGAGCGAGGAACAGCCGGGAAATGGAGATTTATCTCGCGACCGATTTTCTGCACGCTCGACAACGCGCGCCGCTAATTTCATGGGGATATCCGAGGGGAGAGCTGCTCGGAAAAAGATCTTCCAACGACGAATCTCTCGTCGATGAAACACGCTGCTTCTGCCTACGACAATTTCACCGAGCTAACGACAACGTTCACGTCCCTCAAAAACGTGAATCGTGAACGCTCCCGTATAAGATACTGTATTAACACGTTGACTGCCGCGTCACCCGTATTCGGGTGACAGCAAAAGTTCTCATCAGGCCACGTCACCCATAATTCTGTCTCTTATACACATCTAGATGTGTATAAGAGACAGGCACGGGTGGCCTGTAGGAGATTTTGTTGTAAATACGCGTGGCAGTCAACGTGTTAATACAGTATCTTATACCTGTCTCTTATACACATCTAGATGTGTATAAGAGACAGGCACGGGTGGCCTGTAGGAGATTTTGTTGTAAATACGCGTGGCAGTCAACGTGTTAATACAGTATCTTATACCTGTCTCTTATACACATCTAGATGTGTATAAGAGACAGGCACGGGTGGCCTGTAGGAGATTTTGTTGTAAATACGCGTGGCAGTCAACGTGTTAATACAGTATCTTATACCTGTCTCTTATACACATCTAGATGTGTATAAGAGACAGGCACGGGTGGCCTGTAGGAGATTTTGTTGTAAATACGCGTGGCAGTCAACGTGTTAATACAGTATCTTATACCTGTCTCTTATACACATCTAGATGTGTATAAGAGACAGGCACGGGTGGCCTGTAGGAGATTTTGTTGTAAATACGCGTGGCAGTCAACGTGTTAATACAGTATCTTATACCTGTCTCTTATACACATCTAGATGTGTATAAGAGACAGGCACGGGTGGCCTGTAGGAGATTTTGTTGTAAATACGCGTGGCAGTCAACGTGTTAATACAGTATCTTATACCTGTCTCTTATACACATCTAGATGTGTATAAGAGACAGGCACGGGTGGCCTGTAGGAGATTTTGTTGTAAATACGCGTGGCAGTCAACGTGTT